TGAGAGTTAGGTTCAAATTTGAATTTGTGGCTAAGTTTAAATTAATATTTTAATAATTTATGCAAGCCTTTTATGAGATGTTATGGTAATAGGTTGCAACAAGTAAATATATACAAAGTTTCAAAATTTTGTTTCGGAGGTGAAAAATTGATTGCTCAACTTTTAATTCATGTATATAATAATATTAATCATTGTCCTTACTTTAATTTTTAATTATTTATTTTGTTTGTATTTTTATTTGGAATTTGTTTTATTGATAGTGCAAATCCAAAATTTTCTTTGACACCAGCCTGGGTATCATCATCAATACATATACATATACATATACATATATTGTGTAGGATTGGCTTTGGTATGCTTTTTGTGATTCTATGCTTTGAAATACCTTCCCTACGATTATATGCTTTGAGAGTCAGGTTCAAATTTTGATTTGTGGTTAAGTTTAAATTGATATTTTAATAATTTATGCATATAAACTAAAGGAGTATTTATAATATGTGTATGTTCTAAATATAGTAATATATTATTTTCTTTGAATTAAATTTGAGAAATTCTTAGATAGATCGAGTGTATCATATCATTTGTGATCTATCTAAAAAAAACATGACATTTAAATTATATTAAATATAAATTAATTTTGATATTGGTGAGTAGAGAGTGATAAAGCAAGAAATCAAATGTGCATTCTATTTTAAAAATAAAATTAATTAAAAAAAATATTATATAAGATTTTATTTAAATTACTTGAAGTATTTTAATTAGACATTATTTCTAAATTAATTAAAAAAATTATTTTTTTAAAATGTGATACACCTATTCTACCTTAGTATTTGTCACTGAATGTAAATCTTTGAAATTCAAATCCACTTATTTAAAAATATTGTTATGAACTCATAATCAAACACCAATTTATTTTATGTTCTTAAATTATTTTATATAGTTATGAAATGTTGACTTTTGAATTACAAAGATATTAGGCATGCTAAAGATAATTGAATTTAATTTTAGTTATGTGTACTACTTTAATAATTTATGGCCTGGTTGTGGTTGGCATTAAAAAATATATTTGTTTTAGATAGGTTAGAGATTTTATATAGTAAAAGGATCAATTTATAGAAACCTTTATAAAAAAAAAACATATGCTTTTGTATTCTTACTTGATCATGTGTTTTGCAAGTGGGGTTTAGTAATTCCTTTTAAATTGATTTGAGGATTATATTATTGATTGAAGAATTTATTCTAATTATTTTGTTTTGATTTATTGTAATTACCAAAAATGTTATTAATAATTCTAAAATATATCAATCTAAATATTTGTTTTACATTATTATAACAGATTAAAATTTTATAAATATTAAGATTAAGATTAATTAAAATATAAACAAACCATATAACCAATTAATATCTTTGTTAATATTTTGAATTTTTTTATAATTTAATTATGTGCCCTTAGAGACAACAAAATATTTTTTAAATTTAATTATTGTTTCGATAAATTTTTTAATAAAATAATCTAATTACATTGGATTGGATTGGTTTTGATGACAACTAATTATTTCATAATATAATTAATTTTTTATTCTAAAAAGCCATATGTTTCTAATTATCTTGAAAAATATAATTGTATATTTGAATTATTATTCATGTTGAATTTATGATTAGTAAATATTCAGATTTAATTTTAAAATGTCTCGTCAAGATAAGTTAAAGGTAAAAAAGTTATCATAGTAATGTATCTTTGGTAAAATGATTTTGCCAAATTAATCATACCTTCTAGAAGTATTTGAAATTTTGATAATATTGTAATTTGATTAGGATATGTTATTAATATCACTCAATATATTCAATAAGTTTGGATCACCAATATAATGTACTTAATAATAAAAAAGACTTTAGGTTTAAATTTTGAATTTTAAGCTAGAGCCATTAAAAATTAATGTATAGTAATTAGATAAAACTGTCAATTTTAATTCAAATTTTCCTTCCACCTAGATATTATCTTAATTATAAAGAAGTGGTATTAGCTACTATTTTAGAAAGAATTTTAAATAAGGATTAGGGATGTGACTTAATTACTAGTGAGTTTCAAAAATATTTGAAACTTGTTAATTTTACCTTTTTGCAATTTTCTATGAAAAGAGTAAAATGTTACATATGATAGATAAAGTGTTTTTATCACACATAGGTGTTCTTCTATTGGACGGCATACTGTTTGAGACAAATATTAAATGCATTTTTTATAACAAAAATTTAAACTTTAATTCATCATATGGTGAAATAATAATCCTAATAATCCCCCCTGTTAGACCTAATCTTGTTGTTGATAGAGAAATTGTTTTTAAACATAATAAATTTAATAAGGGTATAACAATAAGAAGTTTATTTTCTTTCTTTTCCATATAACATTAACAATTTAACTAAGTCTCCTTAATTCTAATTAATGATACAGTTAGAAGTGATTTAGATATAGAAATGTTGGGAGCACTTAATTACATAAAGATTCTTGAACTAAAAAAAAAAAGAAATCAAAATAACGACAGATACATTAGAACATGCCTTAAAATAAATATAAAGAAAACTCACATAAGTTATAGGGGAAGGTACACCTAATTTTTATCAATTTTAAATTATGTCCCTATAGTTTATTTTGTTTTAATCAAACTTTTATAGTTTAATCGATTAAATATATTAATCCCTTAAGGTTAAAATTATTAATGAATGATTAATTTTTTTCAAAAAAATACTATTAAAATTTATAATAAAATTAATTCAATACTTTCAGCAAAAAAACCCACAAAGAAATTTTGATTTAATACAATGTTTATATACATTTTTATAAATTTTTATGAAAATTCTATATATATGAATAATTTAGAAAACATAAACTAATTATATAAATTTTGAATTATAAAAATTATGTAATTATTTCTAAAGTTATGTAATCTTTTTATAAAATATAAAAATTGTTACTTTTTTTTTAAAAGAAAAAATTCAAGAATTTTAACCCTTATAGAGATTAACATATTTAATCAATCAAACTATAAAGGTTTGATTGAAACAAAATAAATTATAAGGATTTAATTCAAAATTAAGAAGTACTAAAAGGACCTGTATATTAATTTCCCAAAATTATTATACAGAGAAAAGAAGGGAAAAAAAAACTCCCACACAGAAAAGAACACAGATAATATAAAAGATGCAAAGATAAAAGAAGAAACAAAACTGGGGGTCCAGGAATCCCACTTTGAGGGAAGAGTTACAGGTATATGAAAGGTAAGTGAAGCCAAGCCAATACCACAAAGAAGGCATAAGATTCAAAGGTTAAAAAACGTGAGAGCAAGATAAAGTAAGTCGAAAAACAACAAAACCCTAAAAGAGTGACAAACTCACAACAGCCTTAAGGGTCACATTCTCTCCCCACTAATTGTTTCCCTCAGATTCCAAGCGTTTCTTCCATCAATATTATTTACCACTTCAAAATAAGGTGAGTTTAAAAATTATCCATGAATCGGTAGTCTCCAGAAGTTGAGGACGGCTAAAAAAAAAAAGGAGAGCTTTTTGTTACATCTAGGGAGCATCTTGGAACAGGGAGAGTATATAGATGGGCCACCTTAATGGTTCCAGAAAGATACGTCTAAGTGAGTACGATTCTATATTTTAACTAAAAAATTTGAGGGATATCACTTGTTGAGCCCGAAAGGGAGAAAAACATAGCTTCTTATCTAAGAGGATATCAATAAGCGAGTGTAACATTGTATTTCTTAAGGCATCGACTTTATAGGTTTTTTCATTTATATATATATCTTTTTTAATTTAATTTTATCTAATGTGAGACTTTTCCTCATATTAAGCCATGTTAACTCACTCTTGATATCCTAATGGAAAACTTTCATTTTTAAGTTGTTATGTTGATGAATTGTTTGTTTAACGGATAGCATTTAATTTTATGGAACATATGATTACTTTGTAAGATTAGATCTTTGTTAGATTAGTTTAGTTAGTTACAAGTTCTTAATACAATTAAAGATGAAAAATTTGTGCAAGGAAGTGACTAATGACTTATAGAATACCCTTTCTTTTTTAAAATTAAAAATTGATTCCCTATCTTTCTCTAGCTCTCCCAATATCTTCCAAAATCAAAAATTGATTTCCCTCTAAATTTTTCATGCTATATTGAAATTATAAATAAGGAATGAAAGTCTATCAATAATCTATCCAAACAATATTAAGATGGAGTGCATATTTCATTAAGTTTGTAGTTTAGCATGTTTGCCCGTGTTTAATTTGATTCCCTGTGAAGAGGGTTAGCATAAATACTTGTGAAGAGCATTTAATAATTAATGGGATGAATCAAAGTTACAACTTACAAGTGTTAGATAATATATGGTGAGACAAAAAGCTTGTCCCTAGCCCCTTGAAGACATACAACTCTATATACACATGGAATGAAACCAAGTAGATGGATTCATTTAATTAGCCATGCTTTTAATTAAGGAACCATCAATTATTACACCACTTCATTGATTTTTGGTTTTTTACAATGTTCACTATAGCCAGATCAGAATCAAGATTGTGGCTATTACCTCATAAAATTTATGAAAGACATCATCACTTATATCTCAAAGATATTCCTTGACAAAATACACATAAACCTTAATTGCCTTAAATTATAAATTATAATAAACTTTAATTAACTAAAAACTTGATTTTGTTATGGTTTTTTGCATACAGTAATTCAAGGATGTCTAATTATGTAAAGTATGTAACGAAGAAGTCCCTAAAAAGTTGGCCATAATATTATTCCAGCAGTTGATAGCATCAATTACTAAGGCCACTTAGTTTAGGAATTTAATACATAACTTTATTGGCCAATTTTGATGTGGGATGCTGAAGTTGAATCCTTTGCATTCATCATATTCACGCACATTGAATAAGGAAGTAGTGTGTGTGTGTCTGAACATCAATGGTAATTATTTGATTTACTGATCAAGAGAGAGAGCACGACCTTACTTGAACAGGATATGTTGTATAGGCTTGTCACACTTTGTCCTTGAGTTTCAAGGAGACAACAGCCACAATTTGGATGATAACCAAAGATCACGTGACTAGAGCATGACTACTGGCCTGTTGCTCCAACCTGTTCGGCCTCAGCTTGGGCGCAATTTGGATGGTCGCTTGATTGTCTTGACAAGTACTCAAGGGGGAGAGTCTTAGGTTGCTTTTAAGCAATACGAGGGTTCAAACTATATAAATTGTTAAAAAAAATCACGTTAGAACAATTATAATTTTTATAAGGATAAGTGTTGCTTTTGTTTTTGAACTTTTCTAAAGTTCGCCAGTACCCTTAACTCAATATTAAGTCATTTCTGTCCTTGAATGTTCAATATACGCTACCTTATCACCTCACATCAATGCATCATAACTTCTGTTTTTTAATGAAGTGAGTCCTACTATTTTTATAATAAAATATTGGATTAAGATTTATTTTTATTTTTAAACTTTTTCTTTAAGGTACTCATAGACTCTAAACAAATACTACTAGAAAAATTGAATTTGGTGAGGGACAAATTCCTCACTAAATTCATAGCTAAAAAAAAGTTTACTAAATTTAATGAGGGACTAAATTTTTAGCGAGAGACTAAATACCTTGCTAATACTATTTAAAATTTAATAATTTAGCGAGGGATAAATATGCCTATATTTAAAAATAATGATACCACATCACTTATTATGTGTGGGTTAACTTATGACATATTACCAACAATCTTGTGTTTCGTCAACCACCATGTTTCCTATCATTTTGTGCTCTATCACCTGTCACATGTGTGACAATTCATGACATATCATTATTTACCTTGGGCTATGTCACTTGCTTCTTATCATGTCATATATTTATTATGTTTATGTCAAAGTTAAGACTTGAACCCTTGGCCTCATACCTTTCAAGCCTTATACTTTCATTCTTTGTTAGTTGAACTGAAAGACACCTGCAGTCATTGTATGAAAAATTAAGTATATATTATTTAACTACAGAAATATATTAAATAATCTATTATAAAAATATGCACATTTATACATATTAAATTTTATTTTCAATTATTAATAAGTTAAAATATTTATATTCTATTTAAATTATTTTTTATATTATATTTTCAATAAAATATTATTTTATTAATGAAAATAAACTTAAAATAAAGAAAATATTAAATATTAAATAATTTTATTATGAATATTTTAGTTAATTTTTAAATTTAATTTTTATTTTTAAATAAAATTAATTAAATATATAATTAAAAGTCATTGCCAAAAGTTAAAACTTTTTTTTTAGTAATTAGCTAGGGATAGAATCCCTCGTTAAATTTATCACTAATTATCTTATTTTAGAAAGAGATTGGTAGTTCTTCGCTATTTTTTTCACCAATTATCTTATTTTAGAGAGAGATTGATAATCTTTTGGTAGTTTCCTCACCAATTTTCTTATTTTAGAGAAGGATTAGTTGCCCCTTGCTATTTTTCTTGTTAATTATTTTATTTTAGAGAGAGATTTATCATCACTTGCTATTTTCCTCACTAATTCTCTTATTTTAAAGAAGGATTGACAGTCTCTCGCTATTTTTCTTATTAATTTTAAGTCAAGCTATGAAGTTAATACCCTTTACTAATTTGATATTTTAGAGAAAAATAAATAATCCCTTATTAATATGCATTTTTCTAATAGTGAAAAAGTTTCGAATGGTAAATTAGAGATTGAAATGACCCAATATCTATTTTAAGATGTTCATAATCCTCGAGCAAAAATTTCAAGGATAAAAGTGACTCTTTTCTTTTTTTTTTATAATTGTATTAATTTATTTTTAACTTTTTTCATTACCCTCTAGATTATGCATTTTACATTCCCTTCGCAACCGGAGGATGCTTTGGATGATTCGGATGTGAGCATTGAAAATAAGATAGCGTGTTCACGTGACACCACTAGGAACAACATCGTCTTGGGGCGCACCATGGAAAAAGCAAAGAACCAAATAAAGCATAATAATCTTTAGCTCTGCATCCATTTGTGCTACGTGTTGACTTCAGATCTACAGGGATCACATGGGGATCCATGGCTAAGTATTATTCACAGCCCAGCTTTAGATATCCGTCCACGTCATCCTCCTACGTGGCATCCCCCGTGTCCATGTTCATGGCTTCCATTCTTTCACGTCAGCACTATGGTGGGTCTAACTCACTCTCTCTCTTACACTTTACCAATTCTCTTATATTTCATTCTTTATATATGTATTTTTATTCCTTCGCCTCCAAATAAACTCTCACACACACTCTCTCTCATTCTCTCTCTCTCTCTCCTCTTCTCTTCACCAAAAACTCTCTCACCATTGAAGCTTTGCTTTGTTCCTTACACACACAGATTATCTGTCTTCTGGTATGTTGGTCTTGCAAGTAAAATATGAATTTTTAAAGTTTAGGTTCTGCTTTTTGGCTTTTTCTTAATTAATTTCGACCAAGCTGGCTTAATTTATAACCAATGAAGCTTCTATATATGTTTCTCTTACATATTTTCTTTGTTGATTTATTATATATGCAGGGAATATAATCACCTGAATGGTTTGAACCAAGAAGCTTTATTTGTTTGATTGTCATCATATAACAACAAGTTCCATTCCAAGTTATTTCTTTGAGGTATGTTATTTGTTTTCCTCGAGTTAAATTGGACTACTCATGTATGAGATCTGTCTTTTCTTTTCACCCATTTGATTCTTCGAAAAGTTAGATGTTAAATATTTCAAGTTTGTGGTTAAGACATAATTTTGTTTTTCAAGTTTTTGCCTTTTGTTTCGCTAACGAGAATAACGTAATGGATTTAAATTCTCTAGAGTTGGGATTGTTGAATTTATGTGAAGTTTCTTTTTTAAGTATTTTCGCTCATCTTATTATTTTTTATAAAATATAAAATATTTTTTCCTTTAAATCCTGTGAAGTTGGGATGGATGAATTTATGTGAAGTTTATTCTAGTATTTTATCTCAATTTATTATTTTTTATAAAATATAAAATATTTTCTTCTTTTTTTTTTAAAAAAAAGAAAACTTTACAGAAATTTACCTATATCAACCTCAAATGATTCAAACCCGATATTAATCCTAATTTTTATTATTAGTGCACAAAGGGAGATGCATATCTTTACATACATATAGATGTATACATACACAACCGTGCATGCATACAAGCATCTATGCATACATATACACATATACATGATCATATTGTTACTTAATTAAGTTTGTTTCGCAATATCTGTATAAACTGACTAATTAGCGACGCAAAGTTAGTTTATTTTTCAGTTTTCAGAATCAATTTTGGTGGTTGTTTTATTTCTAGAGTGTTTTCTTCTTATTGATAATAATCCAAAGATTAATATTTCATATGATGGAGTTTTTGCCATCATTCTGTGCAAAATTTGAGAGAAAATTGAATTCTCACTCTATGAAACACAAATTTTAGTAGATAATATATTTCTAGAGAGCGTCTTATTGACAATGAATCGATACAATAGGTAAGATAAATTTGGTTTAGAGATTTCAAGAATCTCTTTCCCAAATAAATCTCTCATATTAATGAACTAAAATCTTCTTTAAAAAAAAATTAATGAAACAAAATTTGTATAAACTATATCAAAAGAATCATAATAAAATCAAAAGGATGTGGCATAGATGGTAGCAATTTAGGCCCTTTAAACATCATTCCAGTGTTCGATTCCTGAAAGTGTGTATGGAAAAATATCATTTGAGAGAGGACAATGTTAACTCCTTAAATGATGCTTAGATTCTTTAGAGAATTAGTCTCACGGTTGCTAACTGTGAGGACACCTTGAGCAACTAAAAAAGAATCTTAATAAACTCACAAATAAATAAATTAAAAATTAAATTTTTTGTCCCTTAAATTTATCTAAATTATCAATTTGATCTGTAAAATTTAATGTTTATCAATCAAGTTATAAAGTTTCATAACTATACGTAATTAGTCCTTAAGTTTGAAGGAAAAATAACACTATACGTACTAATTCTGTAGGATTATGAAATTTTTAAAGATTTGATTGATAAAAATTAAATTTTAAGGACCAAATCCATAAATGTGAAAAACTTGAGGACCAAAAATTTCATTATACCTAAAATAAAACAAAAACAAATAACCCTAACTACTATGTATAAAGTAACAATGTATATATAACACAAATCACAATTCTTCAAATTTTACTCTTGACAGCCTTTATTAGAATATGTCTACTTCTCTTTTATAAAATCATGTCAATTTTAACATGTGTAGTCTTATATATAATGATGTATTGGATACTTAACAATGCTAACAGATGCATTGTTATTACACAGTACAACCGTAGGTCCTTTTAGAGTAATTCTCAATTCTTGAAGGACCCTCTTAAGTCATATTCAGGGATCGTATAAGGAGGGGATCCCCCACATTACAAACTTTCTTTGTAAAATGTATTAATTTTTAGGGAAAATTAATTTGCAGGTTCTTATAATTTTGAATTAGATGTCTATAGTTTATTTTATTTTAATCAAGCTCTTATAATTTGATTTACTATATATGTTAATCTTTGAAAGTTAACATTAATAATGAATTTTACAAAACAAAAATACTCTTGGAGTTCACAAAAAATTTAATTTAATACTTTTAGCCAAAAATTAAAAAAATTTGATTTAATACACATTTTATTAACTTTTTTATGAAAGTTCTATATGTATTAAAAATATTTAGAAGACAATTGAATTATATACATTCTGAGTTACAAAAAGTATGTAATTAATTCTAAAATTATATAGTCATTTAATATAAAAATGTAATGTCCTTAATCTTTTTAAAGGAAAAATTTAATGATTTAAACCTTCAAGGATTTAAAAATTTAATTGATTAAACTATAAGGGTTCAATTAAAATAAAATAAATTATAGGGACCTAATTTAAAATTGAGTGAAACTATAAGAACATGTAAAAATATTTTTCTATTTTTTATTTATAAAATATGCAAGAACTAATTTTGACTCCCCAATTTGTAATCTTTCAATTTTGGTCCCATGTGTCAGCTTCTAGATCTGTCCCTAGTCATATACTCCCTAAAAATACCTAGCAATGAGGGAGGCTCTCTCTCTCCCTCTCTCTCTCTCTCTCTCTCTCTCTCTATATATATATATATATATATTATACTTTAGGGTATGTAAATAAATTATCTTCTAAACTTTAAGACAAGTAGTACTATAAATTTTGAACTTGTTTATTCTACAAATTATTTTCTCAACTTTTAAAAATTGTGCAATCTATCTCTTGCTATTAACAAAAGTTAATTTTAATTTTTAGTTGACAAGAAAATAACAGAAAAGAACAAAAAATCAAAAAAAACATTTATGCAATTTTTTGGGTCATTATTGTAATTTTTGTCCTTTTTTATAATTTTTGAAGTCATTTTTTGGTTAACTAAAGGTGAAAATTAACTTTTTTTAACAACAAAGACTAGATTGTACTGTTTTTAAAAATTGAGGAAATAATTTGCATAATAAACAAATTCAAGGTCTATGATACTCCTTGTCTTAAGTTTAGGTAATAATTTGCTCATTTACCCTATATTCTAAACTAATTATACTTTTGGTCACCATTGATTCCTTCTGCTTTCTGATCCAAGATTCCATAGGATTCATCCTTTCATGTGGGCCATAGCATTTTGTTATTTGTGCACTACCAATCCATGTGTTCTTCTGTTGCTCATAAATTGTTGACAATAAAGCATATTCCAATAAATGCGTTTATCAACTAGTTAATTTCTTGTACTTTGCAATATCCTCAAACAGGCTATCTTTTCCTAAGTCATAATTTTTTTTTTTGGCCAATCCTAAGTCATAATTTGTACTGCTTTCAGTCCAATATATATATATATATATATAAATAAAACTTCTATCATGTTTTATCAAAATAAAAAAATTAAAAAATTTTATAAACTCTATCTTAAAATTTAATAAATTTTTATCTCTACTGTTTAATAAAGACAAAAAGAATTATTTTTAATAATTTTTTCTAACATATATTAAGGATTAAGAAAAGGATAAAGATAAATATAAAAAATTGTACAATGCCTTATAAATATGATTAAAGTTAATATTCTCTTTCTACCTTATAAATAAGATTTGAAGAGTAGTTTGGATCTACAGGAGCTTCAATTATATGATTTATATCCCAACGAATTAATTAATATTTTGTTTGTGAGACAACAATCATACCTTTCTCGGACTTTGCCACGTCCTTGCCTGAGAAATACCTGAGGCCATCAAGAGTTTTGGTTTTAAAATCCTTATCAAATGATGATTAACCAAGTGTTCAACATAAAACTATCTCCTATGTAAGAATAGACGGATCTGTGATTGCAATGTCATATTTAATTAAAATAAGAAAGAATTACAATCCCGTCTCAAATAAAAAAATTAATTATTTTTTCAATCTATTTATAAATCAAATTTCTATAACTATATGTAACATTTTAATATTTAAAAGTAGATGAGATTCATAAGTAATCAATTTTCTTATCAGAAACTTATATGTAATTCCCCTTAAAATAACCTATGTGCCTCTTGCTTTTGGTCTCTAAGGGAACCCACATTTATGACAGTGGGTGCAAGAAAAAATTAACTCGGATGACTTTAAATAATTCCAGTTTCTCGGCTTAAAAAATTTTAATTGTCCTATGCTTTAAAAAATTTCACTTATCCCATTGGTATAAAATTTTACTTACCCCACTAAAAAAATTATTATCTAAAATTATATGTGTGTGTTTTATAACCATAAATAACAATAGTTTTGAAATAGAAGAAATAATTTATAAGAAAATTTTTTATGAAAAGTTTTATTAAAAAAATTCTCTATCATACAAAAGAGGTGTATAAATTTTATTTAATGAAAATTAAAAAAATATGATTCTGATAGATATAAAAATATATAAAGAGAATCTTTTATGTTATTATAATGTTATGTTTTATGCATGATTTTTTAATATTTAATTTTATTAACATATAACATTAATATAATTTAACAGATATTTAAAATTATTTTTTATAAAACTATTAATATATACTTTAAGTATAAATTATGTCTTGATTGATTTATTTTTTTGGTCTCTCGCGGCTCATGAGATTAATTAGAAAAACAAGTAGTAGAGATTGTAGGAAAATTTTTACATACAAGTCTCGTGGAGTAAACTTTTTTATGATTAAATCCCACAAAATTCAAAAACTATAACCAAATTTTTTGAGACCCGAGTGTAATTTAAAATTAAGGTTAAAATATAATAATGTCCTTATTAAAAATATATTATATCAATCAAATAGTTTACAACCACTTCATCAATAATTTACAACTATTACTTTAACTTTTTATAACTATAACTTTACATATCTAATAGTTAAATTAATAATGTATTATTAAAAAGTTTAACATTAATTGTTTATAGCTACTTCATTATTAATTTACAACTATTATTTCAACTTTTTACAATTATAACTTCATATATCTAATGGTTAAAAGGCTTGAATATTTGATATAAAAAGTTGAAGTTATAATTGTAAAAAATTGGAGTGATAGTTGTAAATTACTGATTATATAGTTATAAATTATTTGATTG